AGTCCTGGCTTACTGTCCCTGCATTGTCCCGCTGACATCAATATCTAGCTCGAGGAAAACAGATCTCTTCCACCTGGGGTTTTTCCACTGTGCTGTAAGCCTGTATATAAAGCTGCTCCCTCCTACAAGAGAGAGACCTCTTAGCACTTGCAATAAAGACACACACACACACACACACACACACACACACACACACACACACTCCTGGCAATAAAGGCAGCACATGCATTCTCTTAATACAAACAGCTGGATGTCTTGTCTTTCTTTTCCTGATACCTTGGACTTGCTTGTAGTGCAGGTGCCGCAATTGGAGGTCCCACTGAGATCCAAAGAGACTTGGAAAGACAGGGAAAGATCGGCTAGAAAGAAGACTGGGGAGAGGAGAGACTCGAGAAAGAAAAGATTTAAAAACAGGTACCTCAACTTCTAACAGTAAGACTGAATGGTTAAATCTCCAGGCTTTTGCCTGAGAGATCACCTTCTAAGGAGAAGGTGTATTGAATTAATCTCCAGCCTTAACCCAATCCACTGAGGTTGGGAAAGTAAGGGGAAAACTGAGAGATTGCCCTCAGTTGAAGGGTGAATTGAATTTATCTCCAGCCTTTCGCCTGATCCACTAAGGTCAGGAAGTAAAGGGGAACTGAGAGATTGCCCTCAAAGGCTGGCCAGCAAGTAAGGCTATGAGGGTGTACTGGAAAGGGGTTCCAAGTTAGGGGTACCAGGTTAAATCTCCAGGTATTCGCCCAACACCAAGGTTGGGAAAGAAAGGGGAACCTGAGAGATCGCCCTCAGTTGGAGGGTGGATTGAGTAAATCTTAAGGCTTTTGCCTGAGGGATCATCCTCGGTTGGAGGATGGATTGAAAATGGGTGAATTGAAAATTGGTAATAGTTAGTAAACAAGGTACTAGTATTAAGTGAAAGAAGGAAAAGTAAGTATATGGAATGGAAAACACATGGAGAGTCTGGATACTGTGTGCTGTTGTGTTGTCTTTGAATTGTTTAATTGCTAAGAAAGGAACAAAAACTGCTATAAGACATTCGATTATCAATGCTACTGAATTAATCCAACTTACATATTTTGAAAATGCTTTGACTTCTAAATTTAAATATAAGGGCAGATTACTTGGGAAAAGAATTTCTGCTTTTGTTCCACAGAAAATAAAAAGCTGTGGGTTCCTTCCAGACTAATATGGTTTAACAAAGCAAGACCACCTGAAGCAGTGGCCCAGGTGATCCAACATCTAAAACAGCTGAGATGATGCAGACTTGCAGACCACAAAAGCAAGGACTTCAATAGGTTTCTGGTTTTTTTTTTTTTGTCATGATCCCAATGGTATTTCAGCGCCCCTTAACAGCAGGAAGTAGTTTGGAAAGAACGACACCCACATTCCCAAATATTGTTTATAAATGTTTGTTTTCATTTATTGATACATTTTGTGAATCATCTCTAAAAATTTTTTACCAAAAGCCTGGCCTCTCCACCCTGCATCTACAGAATTACAAGGAGTGGGTACGGCTGTAGCCCCTGAGTGTAGCTCAAAACTTTCTCAAATGGAGGGATGATGAGGGACACACAGGACTTTCTCAACCTTTTGTTTTAATTCAATGATTGTCTGGAGATGTTCTGACATAAAGATTTCAATTAAGGAAGTTTCATTTCAACAAACTAATCATGACCTAGGGAAAAAGGATGACTGAAACATGTATGTATGTTCTGAATGTATGGTGTGGTCACACCGGTATGTATGAAATGTGATTGTGAATGTGTGAGTGTGAGCTGCTTAAATTGCCTTGGATATGATTAAAAGGATACTTAAGTTGCTTTGGATACAGTTAAAAAGCTACCTAAATTGTTTTGGATATGGCCAAAAAGAGCATCCAGCCAGTCAATGTCTTAACAGGAAAGGTTGACGATTTGAGTCCTCAGAGCCAGTCAGTGGAAAAATAACAGAAGCCTACAGCGTGGCCTGAGAGCCAAAGAAATGTGTATTCTGTAGAGTAGCAAACAGTTCAAACAAAATTTCAAAAAATAAAAAGGGGGAGTAATGTCCCCAGTCCCCACATGATTCATTAAATCATGCACTCCTCATTTTAAATTTTTAGATGCGGGTGCCAGTGAGCAATCTGTTGCAGACAGATTCTGGCCTGATGGAACGTGAGTGACTTTTGCTCAGGTCAAATGGAGACATCCATGCACTAGACAGTGGAGAAGACCCAATTCTGCCCTAATTTGGGGTGGAGGGCATGTTTGTGTTTTCTTGCAGGAAAAGAATAAAGCTCGGTGGCTGCCAGAACATTTGGTGAGGTGCATGGAGCAGAGAAAAACCAGACCTGAGACCGTGGGAGCCTACCCAAGCCCGTTCTCGTGAGATCCCCCGTGGGAGCCTGCCCAAGCCCGTTCTCGTGAGATCCCCCGTGGGAGCCTGCCCAAGCCAGTTGGAGTGGGATCCCCTGAGCCAGTGTCCCTTACCCTTGATGTCATCGAATCTACAGCCCGAGAAAGAAAGGAAACAGTCAGTTCGCGATTTCCAGTTTCTCAACAGGCCTGCTGCATCAACTTCCCGGACCTGTGAGTTTCATCCCAGAGCTGACAAAGAACTAGATGACTAGTAGTTTGCCCTTGACACACCTTGAGACACAGAATTCATTTTGCCAGTTTTTCCCTTTGGGGAAAAAAGGACCCATTTAAAACAATTGGACACTGGTATTTTCAGTATTTGAACAGGACACGGCCACTTGAAATATCAGCCTTGGGGGTTCCTGTTCCTGGAATCGGGCCTATGCCATTGTATTTTTCTGGAGAAATGCAGCAAAAAAGAGACTTTGGCATCACTGCTGGGGTGATTGTAGCTGTTGCTGTTGCTGTTGCTGTTACAGTAACCATTGTATCTGGGACTGCCATCTCACAGTCTGTAACTACAGCCAGCACAGTCGATAGACCAGCAGGGGAAGTAACAGAGGCTCTCAGCACTCAGGGCTCCTTAAATAACTTAGTTCAGGTAGGAATTTGACATCCTTAAACCTGTTGGCCTACCCTGGCGCACATTTGTGTTACCCTGCCAAAGTTTATACTCATCAATTGGCCAATCAAATTGTTAGGATGAATGAGACCCAGGTTCCTCCATCCTCTAGAGAGATCACCCTTAGGGAATCCCAGATGGCAGGCCATTTAATCAAAGAATGGGCCAGGTTCCCATCTCTGGGCCTTGCAGCTGTAGGACTTATTATCATATGCTTCTTTGGTTAAGGTGCCTCGGTGCTAGACCAGCCCAGGCTCCAGTTGTCACTCGAGGAACACAGAGAATCCCTCAGCTAGACTACGGTTGAGCCTACAGAAAAATTAGGCAGCCAATGACAGGCGAGACTAAGGGAATGCCAGCCAACCTAAGACAGGAGGGTCATGCAGTCTGGGTGATTTCTCCATTGACGGGTAAGGTTGGCATTAACGTCATAGTCACCTGAGATAGGTGCTAATTTATATATAAAGAAGGGGGGAGATGTTGGGCTCCAGCCCCCACAGGGTCTCTGAGTTGTTTGTCAGCTGATAGCCACAGGTGCATCCTGTTTTCTAGTCCTGGCTTACTGTCCCTGCATTGTCCCACTGAAATCAACATCTAGCACGAGGAAAACATGCTCTCTTCCACCTGGGGTTTTTCCACTGTGCTGTAAGCCTGTATATAAAGCTGCTCCCTCCTACGAGACAGAGACCTCTTAGCACTTGCAATAAAGACACACACACACACACATCTCTCTCTCTCTCTCTCTCTCTCTCTCTCTCTCTCTCTCTCTCTCTCTCTCTCCTGGCAATAAAGGCAGTACATGCATTCTCTTGGTACAAACAGCTGGGCGTCTTGTCTTTCTTTTCCTGATACCTTGGACTTGCTTGTGGCACGGGCGCCACACTCAGCTACCATGTCTGCCTTCATGCCACCCTGCTCCCCGCCACAATGCCACAATGACAAAGGACTAAACCTCTGAAACTGTGAGCCAGCACCAATTAAATTGTTTTCTGTATGAGTTACCACGGTGTCGTCTCTTCACAGCAACAGAGCTCTAAGACAGAGACACAGCTAAAACAGTTAAACAGTAGTGCTGAAGTTGCAGAGGGCTTAGCATTTCTGCAGTTTTAAAAACCTGAGTACCCATTGTCCACGTTAGCATGTGTGTTACTTCTAATCTCCAGAAACTCAACGTTATGAGAGAAATGACTGTCACTGGCTCTTTCCATAGAGATGTGGGTGGAAGGGTCTGTGCGTCCCGCGCGCTCCTGGCTTGCCCCTGTGGGACCCAGCAAGGACTCCCCTTGGGATTACCACAGCCAGGTTGCCCATCTCTTTCATCACTGGGATCAAATACCTGACAAATGCAAGCTATGGGGAGAAGGATTTGTTTGCACAGTGCCCACCATACGACGGGACCGTGAGGTGGGTCCCCTTCACATCTCCGTGAACCAGGAAGGGGATGCTCTTCTGACTCCTGTTTTACTCATTCACCCAGCCATGGATGGTGCTACCACACTCACTGTGGGGCTCCCTTCCTTAGTTGGTCTAATCTGGAACCCCCCAAAGGGCAGAGGCGTATCTCCCCGCTGACTCCAAACCCAGCCAAGCTGGGCTACGAAAAAGAAGCCCTGTTGGCCCAGCCTCTGTGGCTCCTCTCAGTTTCCACTGCATCCCTTCCTCCTTTCCCTACTGAAGACTGGCACCCCCGCCTTCACACTCCTCCCTCAGGAGTCAGAAATGGTAAGCCATGTCAGTGGCGAGTGACGACCGTGGCGCTCACGACGGAATGACGCCAGCACAGACCTCAGGCCCAAGTCAAGTAATTAGCTGGTTTATTCTGCCCCTTGCACCCCTGGATGTGGTGGACTTTTGTCCTTTTCCATCTGGAGCTGTCAGGCGGTTGAGATGACCGGAGGGATCCAAGCAGCAAACAGAAAAGCATCCCCAGTCACAAGGCATTGCTGGCAAGTGTGGCAGGTCCACCCAGCCGGCTACAGGTCACAGCCATCCAGCCACCTGTCCAGGGTGTCAGACAGCTGGCAGTTCCTGGACCAGATGGGCCTGCAGAGGGAAGGCCAGAGAGTGGTCGTGGTGGCTCCTTAGAGTCAGCGTGTGGACTCCCCAGAGCCGCACACACCCGCCTGGCCCTAGGGTAGCTGTGTCTCCCCCAGGGACACATTTCCTCAGGCTTTTGTGCTCCGTGGTACTCACCCGGTGCAGATACAGGCGTTTCCTGCATGATGTGGCCACACTACCCCTACCTCACGCAGGAACCCCGCCCAGCCTGGGCACCACAGCCTTGTGAGTCACTCCTCTAAGAGTGCTTCAGAGTTCTGTGCCTAGCCCAGGGGGCCCAGGGTGTATCCCTGGCCTTGGGCTCCTTCCTCCTACTGCATTCTGTAGCATCTAAAACTTCTTCCCCTCTTCACTCTTCCTGGGGCATCCGACTGATCCTTTAAACTTTTCTCCTGATGTCCCTAGAGGTCCTTCCCCGGGTTGCAGCCCCTGACGCCCACATCAGGGCCCCAGTCCCTAACCCCATCCACAGTCCTGCTCCTCAGCCTCGCAGGGCTCCGCTCATCTTCAGGATGGGGACCCGAGTAGACAGTGGTCCCTGGCCCCTTGTAGTTACGGAGTAACAGAAAATAACACACGTCCACACTCTCAGAAACCCCAAGGCTTCTTCACAGCTCAGGGGCAGATGCGTGGAAGGGGTTCCCCGGGGCTGTGGGATCATCTCTCCTCTCTTGTTCACGCCACCCGGCAGGGTGCCTCGGTCTGAGCTGTGGCAGATACACGTCTGCCTGTGAGCTTACTCAGAGCCTGCCTTACCAGGAATCTGGACAATAAGGCACCTCAGCAACGTGGCACAGCTTACTGGTCCATAGTGCCACGCAACAAAGGTGACTTTGGCTCATTAGTGTTTATCCCAGGGACTCAGCCAAGCTCACCAATTAATCAGAAAGCCTAGACCACGTGTGCAAGGAGACAGTTATCATTAACAAGGGGCTTTCCGCCGTCGGGTGCAACGTGTTCTGTTAGCAGTGAAACTGCATAAATGGATTCATGATGTAGGCTTAGCAGAATTTAAAGATCCGTAGCACCTACCTCACTTTTCATACCAAAATTACAAAGGTATCCAAAATTTAAGCATAAAAGGATAAAATCGTAGCAATTCTACTTTTTTTTTAATTTAGCAAAAGTATCCAGGGCTGACTTGGTGTCAGCAGTGTTTTGATACTAAGAAAACATGTATGGAGTTCTTGCCAAGCCTCAGTATAAAATTCCTTAAATTCATGTGCACTTGTGTTTTCATGAGTGTGCAGATGTACATGTGTGGGTGTGCATTCACACGTGGTGTGCATGTGTGCAGATGTATATAAAGTCAGGTGTGGTTCCTCAGACACAGTCCACCTTGTGTTTTGAGACAGCGTCTCCACTGGCCTGGTTCTGGCTGGCCAGTGAGCCCAGGGACCTGCCCGTCTCCTCCTCCCAGAGCTGGGATTACGTGTGCACGTCACCATACTTAACAGTTTTTAAGACATGGGCTTGGGGTCACACTCGGGTCCTCTTGCTTTCAAGGCAAGTGCTTTCCCCACTGGGCCACCTCATAGTTCTTAAACACGTTTCTAAGATGGGGGGGTGGTTCACATAGACCTAGGGGCCACCAGAGAGAAGACGGAGATTTGATTCTAAGAAACTGTCTTGCCTAGGATGAAGAAGCCATCAATGAAGTCACAAATGACAACCCTAAGAAAACAACCCACACAGATGTGATTGTGAACACTTAATAGCCCTTGTTTATAAAGGACACATTAAAAATAAGTGAGAAGGGGCTGGAGAGACATCACAGGAGTTAAAGCATTTACTGGACCAGAGTTCAGTTCCCAGCAACCACAAAGACTCACAACTGCCTGTAACTCCAGCTCCAGGAAATGTAATGCACTTTTCTAACCTCTGCAGACATTGTACACACACACACACACACACACATACACACACACACCACACACCATACACACTCACCACACACACCATACACACACCACACACATCACACACACCATACATACATACCACATACACACCACACACCACACACCATACACACTCACCACACACACCATACACACTCACCACACACACCATACACACTCACACCATACACACTCACCACACACACCATACATACACACCACATACACACCACACACACCACACACATCACACACACCACACACACACACACCACTCACCACACATCATACACAGTCACCACACACACATACACACTCACCACACACATCACACACACCATACACACACACCACACACACACCACACACACACACACAGTTATTAATATGAACCTCCTCTTAAACTCACCTAGAACAACACCTCCGAGTGTGTTTTCTGACAAGGTTTCCAGGGAGGCTCTTTTGAGTAAGGACCCTGAATGTGGGCAGCGCCATCCCATGAACTAAAGGTCCTGGGTTGCACCGAAAGGAAAGGAAAGCTGAGACCAAGCATCACATCTCGTTACTTCCTGACTGTGACCACCGTGTGACACTCCTGCCAGCGTGACTGCCCGGCCAGAGACTCTGCACCCCTCAAACTGCCAGCCAGAGGCGTCGGCTTCCTTTCCGCCTTGGGCTGCTTCTGCGAGGTCTTTGGTCACAGCCAGAGGCCCTTGCCCGCCCTCCAGCAGGGGCAGCAGAGGACACGCCACTTACCATGCCCCCATCCCCTGTTTTCCTTTTACGATTTTCTTGGCACACTCGATGGTGTCCTTTAAGTTTGGATTTAACAGAGCTGCAAAGAAAGCAGAACGGAATCACGCCGCGCCATTTGATGACAGCTGGCGTGCCTCCCCGCCCAAGACCTCACTTCCCATTGCTTTCAACACAGGTCACAGGCGGGGGACACGGGTGGCTGAGCCATGGCCCAGGACCATTGCTTTCGAAGCCAGCGTGGAGAGGTGAGGGAGGTTTCTGAGCATTCTGGGGTAGCCTGGGAGAGGACCCACGGTGGGTGGGTGGGTGGGTGTAGGTCCCCCAGAAGCTGAAGACCCTGGACCACTCCTCATTAATCAGGGTAGAGGGGAAACTCTTTAATGAAGCCCAGGGATGGTGGGGTTAACACTTAGACCCTCTGCTGCAGAGGCGCTTCAGGTATTAGGGAGACCTCACTTGACCTTTGGTGTAACTGTGACCTAGGGACCACTTCATTTGGGTCTGCCCGCAGCTGCCAATCACCAGCCATGTGGCCTTGGGTGTGGACTTGCTGTTTCTGGGCCCCCATTTGCCCGTTTTATAGAATGGGACTAGAAACAACACCTACTCCTGAGAGGCCACTGTGAGCATTAAATGAACTGACATCTACTAGGGGCTAATAAAGCCTCTAGAAGCTCACAGAACACAGGAGTGGATCCTGGCTAGCCACTTCCTCATGGTCACAGGTTCTTAGATCCCTTTAAGAGGGGCAGACATGCTCCCTCTAGGCTGGCGAGACTCTGTCTCCTCCCTGCAACTACTTCTGACTGCCATGGTAATGGTTTGGGTCCCGTACGGGGTGGGTAAGTGAAGCATGGGTGACGTGAGACCAGAAGGAGCAATCTTTCCCACTCCCAAGCTGCCCGGTCTCTGCTGCTCGCCCCTGCTCCCAACACCGCAGTCACCCCAGCACCTTCTGGGTCCCTTTGGCCTTGGTTCCCACCATTCTTCCTTCCCAGGCTAGCATGCGTTTTCTCATCATCCCCCTGCCAGGGACCGTACCTCCCAGGGACAAGCATAAAACACAGCCCGGGCCAGTTCCCTCCTCCAGCCTTCTCCAAATGTGTAGGCTCTGCCGCCTCCAGTGCCCCGGGAAGGAGGGACCCACCGGAGCAGGACAAGTTGCACAGATTCCTGCCATGGTCGCACCATTCACTGTCGCGGATCTGAAAGAGGCCAAAGCCGGTGTAGCCTTCTTCCGAGTTCTCATACACAGCCGAGGGGTTGAACTTGCTCTCAAAATAAGCCAGGCACACCCCTAGGAGGTGGGACAGCAAGTGGCGTGCGTGTGAGTAGACGCTGGGTGCAGAGGCCAGGGGTGGCAGGGCAGGGAATGGAGATCAAGGGGCGGAGGCGCGAGGGGCCGCGAGGGTCCCACTCACAGTTTTCAAGGCTGTAGCCCTCAAAATAATCCAAGCCTCCTTCGCGGAGCCTCTTAGCCACCACGCAGCGCCCCAAGATGGACGCGCCGATCGGAGTCAGCAAGCAGCTGACGAGCAGGAGCACCAGGCACACCTGCATCTTCTCCACACGCGCAGGGCTGTGGATGCCAGCTGAGCGCACAGTCTCACGCAGTTCCTTCCAAGGTCGTAGGGACACTGGACTTCCCAGGGGGAGGAGAGGCACTGGAGAAGGGGGATTCGGGACGGCCAGAAAGAACAGCAGTCACCTGCCTGCCTGTGATGAAGGGGACCCCCTCCCCCACCTCGATTCTGGGCTCATGCTCCGGGTAACATGGGCGCCTGGGGCCCGTCTCACCCAGACACCTCCCATTTGCTGAGGAAACTACACTCTGGAGGTTCTCTGCCTCCCAGAGAGACCCAGCGGCCTCTTGGATGGTCGCTCCGCTATTTCGTTCCATCAACAGAGGTGGACGAGGGCGTCCTTTCCTCTCCCTCTGTTGGGGAGGGTCTATTGCAAAAGTTAAACTCGTCATGTACATTTTTAGGAGGAGGAGGAGGACACGAGGAGGAGGGGATGAGGAGGAGAGGGTGAGGAAGAGAAGATGAGGAGAGAGAATACAAGGAGAAAAAGAGGAAAAGAAGAGAAAAAGAGGAGAATGAGAAGAGGAAGGAGGAGTCGGGTGAGGAGGAGGGGAAGAAGAGGAGGGGGAGAAGGGGAGGAGGAGGGAGGAGGAAGAGGGAGAGGCAGGAGGAGGAGCGAGATGCAGAAGGAGGAGGAGGGAGAGGCAGGAGGAGGAGGAGGGAGAGGCAGGAGGAGGAGGAGGGAGAGGCAGGAGGAGGACACACATCATATGCATATCGTTGAGAACCACTCTGCCCGCCATGCTGACTTCGCTCCTCTGCTGCCTTTGGCCCGCGGCTTGCCCCACCAGCCTGACCTTTTACAACAGTCTTAGGCCCAGGTTTCCAGGTTACAGCCTCCACTGACCTTTGCCCTGGCTGTCCATATGGGGGACAGCCCCAGAGGACAAGCCACTGACCTCACAGCACCTCCACTTCCTAGTCTGTAACGGTGAGGTGGTCCATCCGGTAAAGGACCCTTGACCTCGCCTTCTCATTTAAACTCCCCCTCCTGCTCAGGTCCAAGCTGCCATCTCCAATCACAACTGAGCAATGGCCCCAAAGCGTGCACAGAGTGTCACCTTGAGACACTACCGGCGCTCCATTCCCTGTTTTACACGTCCTCTGGAACCTGGCTTTACCCTGCCAAGCTTCCATCGAGAGGAAGCAACTCAGCCATGGAGAACTCTCAGCTCACCCTGCCTGGACCTGTCGGCACGTGCCACGCCCCTTACGCCACGTGCCTGCTGGAGTCTCACCTTGGTGCTCTGGGACACGGGTCTTCCCCACCCACAGAGCCCCACCCACACCATCCGCACCCATGTACTCGCTCTCTCTTCATCTGCTGGCCCCCACCCCTGGAGACCCCCTGGTGGCTGATGGGGCCTCATGAGTCCCCTTCCCCTGCCCAGCCCTTGCTGCTCACAGTCCCTGCCTTGACCCCAAGAGTGAGAACCCTGTTTTTGGTCTTTATCCCACGCCTCACAAAGAGAAGCTACGACTGGAAAGCCAGGCCCAGCCGCTCCCCAATGTCCCTACACTTTGTCCCTACAGACCAGTGAGCAGGCACCCTCACACTGCTATGTTGCCATTCACATGGGTATGAGCATCCTTGAGGTGATAATTCTCCTACACCAGGGGCTCTAAGCCGTGGCTTGGGCTAGAAAGTTCTTTGGGGATTAGAGTCCTGGCGCACCTGGTGGTAGTTTAGGCGTGCACTGTTTCCCTTGAGCTCCCATGTTTGAACCCCTGGCCTCCAGGTGGTGATGCTGTCCCCTTGGGGTCTGGTGATTGGACGCTTGTCGCCCAGGTGGTGATGCTGTTTCTGGAGGGTTCAAGAGCCCTTGAACGGTGACACCTGTCCCACTTTCTAGCTGTTCTCTGCTTCCTGACTGCAGAAACAATGTGACAAGTCACCCTGTGGTTTTATAAATGGGCGTAGTCACCCCTCTGCTTCCTGACTGAAGATACAATGTGACAAGTCACCCTGTGGTTTTACAAATGGGTGTAGTCACCTCATGCTCTTGTCACCAAGACTGGCAGTGCCCTTAAACTAGAGCCACAGCTAAATCTTTCCATCTTTATGTTGCCAGGCAATTTAGTCCCCTCTGTGACAAGCAAAATGTCCTCTGGAGAATAAAAGTGCTCTCTATCGTTAACTAATAGCTCGAATGAGACCTTTAATTGGGGGCAAAGGTGGCAAACATCTCTTTAATCCAGCTGTGTGGAAGTTGTATACCTGACCGCTGTCTCAGAAAGGAGGTGGTATCTGGGATCCCAACTGCAAGTGCAGCCTTGTCACTCAGATAGCTGGGGTCCCAGTCACTGCTTTGGGATGTCAGAGACCCTGGCAGTGACCGTAGCTAGGTTACTCAACCTCTCTGTTCTTGTCTCCTTGTCTGTCACACAGAGGAAAACACTCCTGGCCCTAATCATGCTGAGCAAATGAGTTCAATACAGCAAGCATTACACGCCCTGGGGACAGCCTTGTTCTGAGTCCTGGTTGCAAGACCTGGGTCCTCATTAATAACTGAATTTCTGTGCATGTGCAAAAAGCCCGTGTTGACATTTTCCCAGTTGAGCAAACAGCATTCCAGGAAACGTCAGTCTTTCCCAGGCCAGGCCATGTCTTGGCTCGTGAAAGACAGAAGGGCTCTTATTTCCCTCCCTCAAGCAGCCAGTGCAGCAGGGACACGGTTAAAGCCCACCCACCCCTCGCCTGCCTGTCCAGGTGTTCCCCCACCTAGAACACAACTCCTCCAACCACTGTCGTTTTAACCCTGGCTGCTGACCCATCATGGAAGGCGGCTTCGGCAGCCTTTGTAACACACCCTAACAGCGGTCACCATGTTAATCTGTCCTCTTGCTTACGACTTTGCTCAGCACTGGGCATGCAGAGAGCTTGCCTGGTGCTATCTTCTCCCAAAGGTTTGTGCCTGGTGCACGTCTGATTCTCAAAGATTTCGTTTAAGGAATGAGCAAGCCTACCCTTCCAACACTTGTCTCCAGATGATCAAGAAGGGACTCTGCTGACAAGTGTCCTCTGCAGCTGGGTGTCCTCTGCCCGTCTCCGAGTCTGCCCGCCAAGGCCCACCTACCAGCCCAGCAGGGTGTCCAAGGACTCCGCAGCAGCCTCCACGTGGCTCGCAGGCTGGGTGCTCTGCCTGCACTGGGTCCCCTGGGCTTTCTCAGATGCCAATCCCTCTACGGTAACTCATTTGTCTTCACCCAAGAGTTTCTACGCCGTTGATCCTGCTTCTAGAACCTTCTCTGTGACATCTGTGAACCGGAATGTTCTGAAGGGGGAAGGAATCCATCACTGTGGATGCTGTATGCAGTATTAGCTTTTTGTCACTGCTGCCTGGCATGGGCCTCAGAAGACTCAGAGCAGGATGTCGGCAGGGCCAGGCTCCTCCCGGAGACAGAAAAGGTGGCGTCATGAGAATATAGTTCCTACACGTTGAGGGTTGCTGACTGAAGGCCACCCTGACTGCTGAGGGCTGCCTGCACCTTGTCACTCTGTTTGGTCATCAAAGCCATCAAGGGTGAGTTCACATGTCATCGTGGTGTGACCGTATGCTGTCTTCATTTCTCAGGTCACCTCCTTCTGCAGTCTCTCTCACTGTTCTGAGGGCTTTGCCGCCACTAGTCACCCAGACTCTAGGGAAATCTCCTTATCTTGATGCCCTCGGGCCTTAGTCATGTCTGGACTCCCCTTTGCTAGTAACACATTCTGATATCCCAAGACTTAGGACAGGAACGCGTTTGCCAGGACAATGCTCTGACGACCACAGCATTCCCATGGGTGGGACAAGACAGCTTGTCTTCTCTCGAGGCCCAGGATCAAGGAGGCTCTCTTGGGACCCAGGCAACCTGATCTGGGACATGAAAAAGTGCTTGGGTTACTGTTAGGGTTCAGAAGATAAATGAGCTTAAGGCGGGAGAGGGAGAGTTGGTCTCTTGGAAACCGTGGCCTCAGTTCTGGCCTGCTCAATTAAAACTGGTAATTGCACAATTGATTTGAAATGAGAAAGTGAAGCCAAATCAGCCAGCAGCGCTTCTGCTTAGACCTGCAAGTGTGTGTGTGTGTGTGTGTGTGTGTGTGTGTGTGCATCAGCGATCCTCAGCATTGGTCTTTCTTTAGGTGTTATCAGCCACAGTGCTGTGTGAGTGTGTGTGTGAGAGAGAGAGAGTGTGTGTGTGTGTGTGCTATATACTACACTGTGTCTCACTTGGTGTTTCTATTGCTTTAAAATAGAGCAATGAGGAGCTGGAGAGATGGCTCAGAGGTTAAGAGCACTGGCTGCTCTTCCAGGGGTCCTGAGTTAAATTCCCAGCAACCACATGGTGACTCACAACCATCTACAATTCAATCTGGTGTCCTCTTCTGGCATACAGGCAGAACATTGTATATGTGATAAATAAATAAATCTTAAAAAATAGAGCAACGAGTTAAAAGCAAGCAAAGCAACATCTCCTAACCCTCCCTTCTGAGCTGCCAAGATGTTTAAAAATTATTCTACATTTTACTCCTTCGGTAAAATACTTTTTTGATAAGTTATATTTTCCAAGTTTCTCAAAGTACATAACTTACTTTTATCGTCACCTTAAGCTAGGGTGACCAAGCTGAGTTTGGCATAGACAGTCACCTGCCTCAGCCTTACGCTCACCTCAGCTGGCATGTCAGCAGTGAGGGGATATCTAGCTGCCATTAACCCCACAGCCAAGGTGAAGGGGCATCCATGGCTGCTCACACCAGAGAGTGTAATGCAATTTGACAACCTCTAAAGCCTCTAGTCAGGAGACTGTGTCTCTTCAGGAGAGAGCAGAGTGTTCTAGTCTCCCGGCTTCTAGAAACTCTGCCTCCTTCACGCCCCATTGCTGTTTGTGCAGACGTCTTATTCATCAGTGGAAACACCTGCTTGGGTGTGGACAGAGAGGACACTGGGGCATCCTGGGAAGCATGCCCTGGGCTACCATAATTGCTGCTGGTTGAGGGCAGGGACTGGCAGACCCAGCATAGGAGCTAAATACAGCCAGCTGTTATCGTAACGGTTCTGGAATGAAGCCATGTCCAAGCGTTTACATACCACCTAATGGCTGCCTTGGGCTGTCATGGCAGAACTGAGGCAGAGTTAAACAGGCCTTTGAAATTTGAAGTGCTCATTATACAAGATAATACGCTACCCCCGAGCACGGATTTGGCCAGGCCAACTCGGTTTTGTGTTTGCCACACTAACTGGCTATGTGGCCTCGGGACAGAAAGTCATCCTCCGTGGGCTTCAGTTTCTCCACGGAGACATCGTGCACAAAGCCTGCATCAGGAATGAATGCACATAGCACATCTCAGAAGATGGGCCAAAAACTGGAAAGACAGGAACAGGTCTACCTGACACCTGCCTCCATACCCTTGCTCATCAGTACCACGGTGTCCGAGTGCCATTGGAGGGGACTGATGGCTCCACGTCCTCTGGAGAAGCAAGCAGCACACACGCCCTGGTCCTGGTGCCCTAGGCTCCTGAGGAGCAGGTGTCTGGTGCCAGGACATCACTCCCATGCAGGCCTTTCGATGTCGTCCTTTCTTGTAAGCAGAGTTCAAGGAAGAAGAGGGAGGAGGCCACCTGTGATGACGCCACCTTCAAGAGGAAGCAGTTCAGGCCTTGGCAGTCTGCAACGGACGGAAGCAATGGGGCCATCCCTGGGCCTTGTAAGCAAAACCATCCTTCAAGATGAGTGCTCCCCTCTGTGGTATGGTCGACTCTAAGGTCAGAGAGCCTTTAGCTGATCAGCTTCTGGTGAATAAATCCCACACAGGGGGGAAATAGCAAAGGGCCAAGGAAATGGGATGGTAAAGCAATTTGCCAGGACACATGTGAGATAGGAAAACCAGCAGTCTGAGTTCATCTGTGACTATATAGAGAGAGGGACAGAAGCAAATGAATCTATATATGTGATCCCACGGCATCCCACTTGAGGATCAGCAAATTAAACCTAGGGAATATCACTTGCTGGCTACAGGGGACGGACGAGACATCCCGGTTTGTGCGGTGGCTATTCTGACTCAGTCTGGGTCCCTTAGAATCAGTCCATGGGGTTGGTGCAGTTTCCTCCCCTCTAGGTTTGCTAACCGCGACAGAGAAAAGCCGTCCTCACCAAGGGATGAGGTGTGGCACCCACAGTGGCGGGACACAGCCTAACACCGTGCAACCCTAATTTGCACCCAACATCACTGCAGGTCATCCTTAGAGCCCTCCCGCCCCCAGAAGTATGCAACCTAAGTGGCCGTGAAGACATACACACTGAATGTAAATGTCCCCCAAACAGAAGACGCAAAATCAGGAAGAGTGGATGGGGGCTGGAGACCACCGGGAAGACTAACAACACTTTCTAACACCCAAAGGCAATCTGTAATCATGGCTGAGCTCTGCAATCTAAGCTGTAGGGGCTGGCAGTCCAGTTCAGTTGGTGAAGTGCCTGCCATGCAAGCCTGGGGACCTGAGTTCAATCCCCAGCCCCTGTGTGAGAAGCAGGCACCCATCTGTAACCCCAGCTCTGAGCACTGGGCAGGGCTGTCTCACACAGGTGGATCCCCAGAGCTTATTGGCTGGCCAGCCTAGCCAATCAGTGAGCTCCAGATACAGTGAGTGACCCCAGCTCAAAAAAAAAAAAAAATGGAAAGAAAGAAACTGAGGGAGGCAACCAGTGCCAGCCTCTGGCTTCCCTGTGAATGGACGGGCCAGCGCGCATGCGTACACACAAACAAAAGAAAATGGAAGAGCTATAAACAACACGTAGGGCTCACAGCACGTGGGGCTTCAGCTCAGTGCCTGGGTAGTGTTTGTTGGGAAGACCCTGTTCTTGCTCTTGAGAGCCCAGCCCAAGTATTTAGGAGCAAAATACCACAATGTCTGTAGCCGACTTTTAGAGGGTCTGTCTAATGGGGGGGAGCGTCAACCCAAAACAGGAATGTTAAGCCCAAGGCCTTTCTAGAAGTCAAGGACCTAGACACAACACCTGGCTGCTGACCAAGCTGGGGAATGAGGACCCAGCCCCAAACCCCTTACAGAACAGAGGCCCCTCAGTGTACCCCAGCACTGGGCACTCACCAGACACACTCAGAACCTTCCTTAGCGAATGCCTGCAATGCTGAACTGACATCCTCAGGAACCACGGTCTAGAACTATACTTGTATCTGAGCTGATATCTGCACCCATGTCTGTACACCATCAGCGCATGCCTAGGAAATGTCCAGGGAGCCAGCCAATCCCACTCTGAGACAGAAGAGCATGCTGGGAACATTCTTGTCTACCTGTTTGCGAAGTCACTCCCTTCTGTGACACCCTCAGCCGAATCCGTCCCACGCAGCAGCACCCTTCACCAGAAGCTCACATCGTTTCTTTTCCCAGTGATCCGCAGGGTCGTGTTGGAGCTGAAGGGATGCCAGGCGATACACTCGGCCCAGCACATTCACACATGTGTACTGCTGTGACAAGTCCCAACCAGATTTCAGAGCTCCCAACCCCAAAGAAAGAAGGCTGTGTGTGTGTGTGTGTGTGTGTGTGTGTGTGTGTGTGTGTGTGTGTATAACTGGAGTTTTTCTTGTCTTGCCCACGCTTCAGCTCCAAATAAACACACAAAGACTTATATTAACAATAAAACTGTTGGCGGTGGCTTGGGCTTCCCATTGGCTAGCTCTGTCTTAATTATTAACCCGTTTCTATTAGTCTGTGTATTTCCACATGGTCTTGGTTTACTGGAGAATTCCAGGACCTGTTACTCCTTTGGGCGGCTACGTGGCCTGTCTCTCTCTCTCTCTCTGCCTCCCTTTCCCAGAATTCTCCTCATCTCCTAGTCCCGCCTATCTTCCTGCCTCTATCAGCCAAACAGTGTTTTTTTTTAATCCACCAACCAATAAGAGAAGCATGTATACAGAAGGACGTCCCCCATCAGGTATGCAGCTAAAACCGTCTTAGATGAGCCCCAGTGCTAAGTGTGGGACAGAGGTCATGTCAAAGAAGGTGGAACCTGCCCTTAGCTGGTGTCCAGACCAGCTCTGACAGGAGGCGTCCCCATGAGAGAGAGACAAAGGAGTGGTCTCTTTCTAAGTCACTTTGCTTTGTCCTGAAGCCCACCTATTTAAAGTATGCTGGTGACAGGGGTAGGGGTGTGGGGGTGTTTGCAGAGGACAGCAATAGCACCACCCAGGGTCTGGCGTCGCTGCCCCCACAAGTCAGTATGAGCAGCCACCTCCAGACTGTGGCCCAGGAAACTCCCTTCATTCACGTTGTTTCTCCAAGCTGAAGGCTCCCAACTGCTCTGAGGGATGTGTGCGGCTGCCACACATTCCTTTTCAAATGGAAACATTCCCAGGGGTGGTGCTGTTTCTGAGCTTACAATATCCCCGAGGGGGTCAGGAGGACGGCTCTGCTCACTGAGGGCCTGAAGGGAAGGTTGTTGCAGCCTGAAGACACTAAAGGCAGAGGGAGGTGCTCTCCTTTATGAGCACTCTTCCTGCTGCCCATGTGGGGACAAAGCTCCCCTCGGC